AGATTTGACGATGATGTCTCTGAAACGCACGTCCTGGCATTCCATATGAAGCCGTCTTGGTCGGCGCTTTGATAAGGGGGACGCTCTAATGAACCGGACTCTAGAGGTCTGTCTATGGGCTACGAAAGGGTGGGACAATGCTTAGCTGACGATCACACCCTCGGGGTCTTCTGATCTCTCAGGGAATCAAGTCAACTCAGCGTCTTTCTAGCAGTACCTGTTTACCGCCGCTTTGGTTGCAAATAGACAAGACTGGCTAACTCAAAAGTGATAGACTATATGAAACCATAAATTGATAGTCATTGATACTCATAGGGACATACCAGTCGAGCTTCTGAAACCAAGGGATGGCAGAGAGACACCGAGCCAGAGTTGGCCATAGGCCTTCAAGTTCATTAGCATGAATCTAAAGATGTTCGCCCCTTGTAGAGACTCCTAGGTAAATATCCACGGTATATCACGGCCCCGGATCTTGAACCAGAGACTGGCTGTGCTTTTCAGGCTTGGTAGGAATAGCACTCGATGTAATTACTTGAGGAACCTTTGACTGCTCAGATAGTGGATATCCTTAGCTTAGAAAGCTTCTCATGGTGGGAATAAGATGCTGCCTATACAAGCACGAACAGTGTCTTACTTGTACTTGCCGATGACCTAGAGGCTTCTGCCATACCCGTCATGATTAGATGGGGATATGCTATGTTTCATCTGAACTGTGCATGTTATTCTTGGTAATACTCGCCCAGCATGGTAAAAGACTAACAAATGAAGAGCTTGGCTTTTGCTCCCTGTGATCCTATGCAGGTCCGAACCCAGATATCCCTGATAAGCACAACTTTTATACGTATTTGCCCAAACGCCAGCCGTATGTAGAAAACAGAAACTCGGTCCAATATCTCATGCCTCAAGTTCAACTCTTCTGATTGAGAAGTTTCACAAATACCAAAGTCCAACCCTTTATCCAGTAGTTTCAAGACACCCTACGCTATGCTAACCTCCATACCATGTTATTTCCCATGACAGATAGATATATAGGCACTTGGTTATGCCATAAAATCATCTTCAATGCTGCCTCGTCCACTGGGTTGGTTGAGATCAATCCTGCCAGCTCCGTCGACAATGTCATTAGTATCCTGTTCGCCTGGTACAGACGTACTCGAGCGGACCTGCACCTTGACTTCACCTTGGATGCCATCAACCCTAATCGTTGACACCGTGGTACCGCCAGGAGCAGGCCGAAGGTTAGGCGGTGGCGAAAGATTGACAAGTTCACGGAAGAAATTGTTGGCAGCCTCGCAGCCGTCCAGCAGCCACTTAAGACAAATCGTCACTCGCTCCTTGGCATATGGGTTGTGGTCGTCGTAGGCGCAGCAGTTGAGAAGAGGCACAATTCCGTTATACTTGACCATCTGCATCTGCACATCAGGGTTTCCGGGGCTGCTCTGACCTTGAGGTGGCTGTAAGAGAGTGGCGATGATGGTAAAGATTTGTCCTTTGATCCCGGACCAGGGGAACTTATGCGCTGGCTCCTGTAGAGGAGGAGGTGGTGGCGATGGGGGGATTCCGTCATCTGTAGCAGCGTATGGTCTCTCGACCATAGGGTTGCCGTCACTGTCATTCCGAGGTGACCGCTTGGGGAGCTCAATAAGAGGCTTCTTGGGCACACCAGCCTCCAATCCAGTCAATATCGTGATAAGATCGTAGATGGCCTCCCACTCGATCAGCTTGGCCCGAGTGTCCAGCATCTCAGCAACGGTCGTGAGAAAGTCGAGATACTGAGCCAGACCATCCTTGGCACGTTCCATATCCCAACTGTCCACTGGAAACTCGGAAGGGTCACAGTTCTCCTCCCGAATTTGAGCTTGAAGATGCATGAGGGCGGCACATTCGGGGACGATACGGCTTCGAAAGAAACTCAAGAAAAAGTGAACAAGCTTAATGTCGCGGGAATTGTCCTTTGTCTCCTGAGAAGCTGAGTTGTTGTTTATACGAGCTCTGAACATGTGGTTGACAAGTCGCAGAAGGACAGTCTGAGCGGGCGAGATGATATCCTTGGGAATACGCAGCGAGTTCCAGGCGTATGGAATCAAAGCGCTGTGATGAAGGGCCTCCACAATCTGAGTAGTGACCTGGAAGATGAGAGACTGCTCATCCTTCTCCCAGACAGCAATGAAGACTAGCATCTCTCTGAGAAGACTCTTTCCGCAGTCGAGGGCTAGGAACATGCGACACCGGGTCTTCTGGAGGTTCTCGCCTGCTCGAGTCAACCCTGAACCGGCGTTGTCCAGAATACATGACTTGACAATCATGTGCAGAGCCTCGATTTGTTTGGGGTCCAAGATGTTGGGCACCTCAGTTAGCAGACCGGTGAGTGGCCCCTCTCCATAAGATTCGTCATCGTCTGCGTCTTCTTCATCCATGATATCCTCCACGTAGTCGTGAGCATACTCGTGATCATGACCATGATGGTGATGGTGGTGATCATGGTCATGGTCATGATCGTGATCACATTGGCATACGCACTCCTGGTCATCTTCGTCGTCATGGTCATGGTCGTGGTCGTGGTCGTGATCATGATCGTGGTCGTCATGGTCATGGTTACACTCGTGGTGATGATCGAGATGGTGCTCATGATCATGCTCATGATCATCATGTTCACAGTGATGGCAATGCTCGTGCTCCGAGAGTTCTTCCTCCTCAACAACACCTGGCGGCGGAGAGTGGTCTGTTCCACAAGAGTGAGCGTATCGATGCACGAGGTTATTGCGGCAATGTTCCAGGCGGCTCTGGGCAAACTCGACAGATGGCATCAGGACTAGCCATTCTTCGTAGTTAGGGTCACGGGCGTTCAGCCACCAGGTATCAACTTCTCTCGAGACGCGCCCATATGCACGATCTTGTTCGAATTTGTCCGTCTCATCGGGCTTCCACACCGGGTTGATCTTGTCCTCGGTGTTGGAAACATCTCCAGGAACATCCACAGAGCCGTCCGGGAGCCAGTTCCAAGCCAGAGGTCTAATCGGGGCGAGGTTACCGGGCGGTTTTGAGGCTTGGTTCTGGGCGTAATCTTTGAGCAGCTTCCTGGCAGTGTCACATAGCTTAGAGTTCCTATCGAGCCAATGCTGGACCTGTCGCTTTGCCACGTCTGGCCGGAAGCCTGAGCCATCGCCTAGACTATCCTCGGGACCCGAAAGCGCGCCGTCATCATCAAATAGGACGTCAAACCAAAACGACATTTTGTTCCTGTCGTGTTTTGCAGTCCAGTTGTGGGCTTGCTGTAACGACGTTACCAGCAGCTTCTTGTCTGGATTCTTTTGTCAGTGTGGGAGTATGCGTCTCAACACCGCGGATACCTACATAGCTCTGTGACATCACCGAGTTTTAATCTCTGGTTCTCATCGAGAATCTCTCCGTCGTAGCCCTTGCTCGTTACGTTGACACAGAGAATGATGGTCTGATATACCATTTGATCAAAGTGAACCGCCGCGCAGATGTCTTGCGGCACCTCGGGCTCAGCATTCACGAGGAGATTCCTGGCAATGTGCATAAGCTTGATGAGAGTCGCTATATCCTCCTTAATTGTCGCATGGTTCATAACAATCAAGGCAGTGCTCTCCTGAGGAGTGACGCCCTTGTCCGGATCGTTGAGGCTCGACAGCGGCCCTACAGATCGTGTGGTGAGGCTCGGTATGGCGGCTGCAAAAATTCTTGTGAGCCAGATCCAAATCGCCACATTTCTTGAGATGGCCTCGCTGCACGCTCGTCAGTGATAAGGCCCGCATGAAGAGCGAGGCTGAGGCTTACCGAGCCTTGCGTATTGTGTGTGTTTTCTCCAATGTTTTTGTGATCATAGAGCTCACTTTAGCTGCTGTCTGAGGGCCCATGGGAGGAGACTGAGTGTAGTGGCCTTCAAGACAGACGAGGGCGGCAGCGAAGCATCGCTCCTCGATAGTTTCATCAGGTCCATTCTCGTGAGCCTCGTTCAGCAAATTGACGTTGTCGGGAAGTCGGGTCATTTTATCATTTCTCGTCATGGCATCCATATACAGTCGCCGATAAGTTGTGGCTGCTAGACTATTTGATGGGTGAGGTTGTGGTGGGCTAAATTTTGGCGGAGCTAATAAGTTAACTTATTAGGTCGGAAAATTTTGGTTGCCCGGCTTGGTCAGCATAAGAGAGGGTGAGGAGGAAGGCAAATAAGTGTGAGACTGTGAGTTTCGAGGTTACATAAAAGTTTATAATATTAACGGGGGATAGACTCGAAACAAAACTGATTCAGCTCTATCACTAAATTATCAATACCTTGGTTGGGTCAATGTTGATTGAGTGAAATGTTCACTACCTTACCTTAGGCGTAAAAGAATTCAGCCCCGCCAAACCAAATGGTAACACAAGCTGTCTTGATAGAACAAAACATCGAAATAGGAACAAAGGCGTAAAATAGTCTATTGAAGTACTTGAGATGTACTTCTAGAATAACTTTTGATCGCTACTCCCAAGACTAGGTAAGTAGGTAGAGAATGACAAAATATTGCACAGCACAGAGCAGAAAGCACTATGAGATGATAATACATCATTTTGAGATAGTGTGTCACGTCGAGCCTTGATAGGCCCTTATGATGACTGTAATAGCTTATCGCAAGTCTATAAACACGGCACGGTAAGTATTCTCTACCGTAGTTGCCTACCTATTTATGATCTTTATAATACTTTAGAACGATAACAATCTCATGCCAAAAATTTGAGATCTTCAAATATGCCAACCAGCCAATGGTAGAGCTCCCAAGGGTCCACGACCCCTCCATCCCACCTCTCTCTGCCCAAGCACGTAACCTAAGCTTTGCTTGGTCATGGCGGCGGGGTAGCTAATAAGGCACCCAACTAACGTTAGTTCCAAGTTGCGTTGAGGACCAAGAGATATTTCCTCGCGACGACGATAACCTCTCATTCTCATCAACGTTCCAAGTCCTTGCTCCAACTAATCTCGGTTTCAATTCGTCAATATGAGTGACCTCCCCACTACGTTCGACAGTGTGTAGACCACCTTCTCTGTCCATATCAGTCAATATAGGCGCAATACTGATTCTCACATCACCCTCATAGAGCCTGTCCATATCGCCGTGATTGGCGGTACTGGTCTCGGTCAGCTCGAAGGCTTCGAGCCCGTCGCTGCTCTCAACCCTATTACACCTTGGGGACCCCCGGCCTCGCCGATCCAGATCCTCTCCCACAAAGGTGGCTACGTCGCTTTCCTTGCTCGCCACGGTGTTCACCATCAGTTTGCTCCTCACGAGGTCCCGAACCGCGCAAACATCGCTGCTCTACGACATATCGGCGTCAGATCCGTCATTGCTTTCTCCGCCGTCGGTTCCTTGCAAGAGGAGATCAAGCCTATGGACTTTGTCGTCCCGGACCAGGTCATTGATCGCACAAAGGGCATCCGTCCCTTTACCTTCTTTGAGGGTGGTGTAGTTGGACACGTTGGATTCGCCGACCCTTTCGATGCAGGCCTTGCCAAGGTGGTCAAGGCTTGTGCAGCTCATATGGAAGGTGACGGCGTCGTATTGCACGAGAAGGGCACGGTCATTGTCATGGGTAAGAGACCTGTTGAAGCTGTGCCAATTCACCTGACCATCCTCTGACAAACAATCTAGAAGGACCACAGTTCTCAACTCGCGCCGAGTCCAACATGTATCGATCTTGGGGAGGATCTGTTATCAACATGTCGACCCTTCCTGAAGCCAAGCTTGCCCGCGAGGCCGAGCTGGCCTACCAGGTGATTGCCATGGCCACCGATTACGATTGCTGGCATTCATTTGAGGATGTTAATGTTGAGCTGGTCATCAAGTACATGAAGGCTAACAACGAAAATGCCAAGCGACTCGTAGCGGGTGTCTTGGATCGACTTGCTGAGCTCGAGAACAGCGACCTGGTTCAAGCAAAGCACTGGGCTGGCGCCTCTCAAGGAGCTGTCAAATTCATGACCAAGCCAGCTGGCCGTGATCCCGAGGCCATGAAGAAGGTCGAGTACCTTTTCCCTGGCTTCTGGGAGGAATAAACTCAAGGTACCTACCTAGTCAGAAACAGAAAGAGACGGATATTCGAGGGTAAACCAAAGTACTTACGTACACAAAGACGGGTTGGATTGGCTTTTGCTGTGATAGAGGCGTTATTGTAAAGCGGCGGAATAATCATCGGTCATCGATAAGAGTTCGAATTCCATGCGTCTGCTTGCTCGTCGATGAGGTTATTTCGAATCATGCACTCGCCAATGGGCACAACGACCCAATTGAGGTCAGAATAACGTGAGCTATTGAGAGCACAGGTCTAATTGCTGTCGATCAAACCTTTTTTGATAGGACAGTAAAGTACGCTCACGACGTCACTGGGCCACGACACAATAGTCAATGGTGTTGAATGACCCCTGGTCCCTGACAAGGGTTCGTTGCTGCATCGTCCACACCCGAAGCTCATGGCTGAGGATGGCTTTTTTTGTGGCAGTCGATTTCTGGTGTCACGCTCTGATGTCGTGTTTTCTCTTTTGTTTCCTCAGGCCCTGCATATGCCTGTTGATGTGGCAAAAGCGGCTCTCACGTTGTCTGTCTGTCCGGCCCACAACGTCGCATGCATTGATGCTTCTCATGTCTGGCGTTTTCGCCGTGAAGCATTGAGGCCCGAGCCGTACTGTAAGAACGATTCAGGATATGAGCTGTAAAGTTCCCGGGACCACAAATACTAGCTTTTCAAGCGTCGTTCCTGTGCCTTGTATCCATGTTCGTGAATCATAAATCGGCAACGGCCCGCCCTAAAGGCAGATTCTGCCAGGGCCCTGGTCAAATGCTACCTGACATTTCTTGCAGCTCACATTAGTCTCGCAGCACGGGTGGTCGCTGTACAACGAATGTCCCTGAAGATGTCTTGTTAGTTATAACAGAGGATCTTATCCACACTCTCAACCCATGTGCACGTCTTGAATGTTGACGGCAACCCTTGTACTTAGTGATGCAATAATTAGGTGTGTCACTTGAATGATAATTCAATCGTCTTACCTACGTACTGCCGTGTGCAGATATGACCGAATCCATGGACTTTGCACAGCGACAGGGGCGTAGCTGCCACCACACCCTCTTCGATGCGCGTCCTTTAAACGCAGACGCCGCTCGGCTGCATTTTGAGAGAGGTTCGTTCGATCAACAGATTCTTCTAGGCCGGGATCCTAACACAATTCTGTGGCAGCGTATGCAATGCTGATTCCGACTCCGCGACCCCTGTGCTTCTGTTGTCTCAGTTGTTTTCTCTTTCGTACTAGGCATTTGTTCCTTGAGGAATCGAATGCCGGAGATATGTTGAAGCTGTGGACATTAGAGCACTTCGGCAGGGTTTCGAAATCAAGCCTGAATGCGTATTCCAGACGATGTCCTCAGCCCAATTGCCCTACTATATGATAGGCGGTCCCAGTGAGACAGCTGCCATTTACAATGTTGCGATATATGAGTTTGGTTGATCGAGGCAATGTGAATCAGCGCAAAGTCAGTATACATCAGATGCCTGTCCAGCATATCCGGCTAATCGTCAGAATCAACTTCCTCTTTGTCTAACGAACGTTCTGTTGTCCGTCATCAGAGACTCGGTACCTGGCCATCACCTCCTGACATCCATTTTTGGTAGGCGTAGCTGGCGGCAGTCTCGAAAAGCTGGCTGAGAGGAGTATGGGACAAGCCATTCCTAAAGACGACGTTAATGAAGAAGATCAGCTGGACTTGCAGGCCGACCCGAAACACGCCGGTCCCCGTGTTGACAGGTCCGGGGTGTGACAGGTCCCGTCCACGTCGACTCCGTGGTCACGGCGCAAGCACAGGCTTTCGGCGCGGGAGAGTGGAGCATTTGAAACTAGAAAGATCCGAGTTTGGCAATGCTTGAGAGCTGTAAAGGACTCTAATAGCACACTAGCCATGGACTGGGTATTGACTGACGGGTGGCTCATGGTATCTACCAAGTCATTCCCAGGCATAGAATCAGAATTCAGCATAGAGACTATCTGTAATATGCAGAAGGATAGATGAAACGAACCAACACCCCATGTTATCCACAGAAATCACCACGGCATGTCATATTTGCTTTTGTGTCGTGTGCCTTTTCTTCTTCTTCTTCTTCTTCTTCTTCTTCTTCTTTCAGCTGCTGTGTCGAGTATTATCACTCAAGCGACCACTTCTCCAGATCTTGAGCTCTTAGGCACGAACAGCGTAGTTTTGCGCACATCTCTATAGTCTCTCGACTTTAGTGTTGATGTAACTCCATACAGGACGATGACTTAATAGGGGAGATGTGATTATGTGAAAAGCGGAATGGCGGCGGAGCCAACGACTATACCTTGACTCGCGTGCACACACAACACTGCACCTTTATGCGTCCAATCCTTGGCTCCAGCTTGGCCATCACTGACTCAATAATGCGTCGTTACTCACCTACGCCTTGGAGCTGCGTTACCAAGCGCTGTCAAAGCATGGGCCTGCAGAGATTATGCTCTTGTGTGGATTTCCATCTACCGGTCTCGCAGGAGAACATAAGGTTGACGTGTATTGCAGTAGCTGCAACGTCAGCGAGTGCAAGTCTTCTTTTTGCCAACGGTTGGCTTTCTATGACGGTCCGATATCCGCGCTCGCTTCGCCTCGGGGTGTTTTTGAAGCATCCGAGACCTCAACAATTGTGAGCTCTGTCGCACAACATACAACGCACGGAATAGCAGCTGAGTTAATGATCGACGGGCATCAACATGCGTTTCTTCCTGGGTGGTATCAGTACTATGTTAATCCCACGTGGCATGTGACAGACTGGAAGAAGCAAGGAGAAGGAATATCAATGCTCATCAAGACAGAAAACACGCAAGACGTTGTCGGCTGCACATAAGACAAGCCAGGATGCAGCGGATCATTTGGAAACAATATACGGAGTAGTACCAACAACGTCTCACTCTCTGGATATCTGGAGAACCAACGTGCAGGGAACTTGCGAGGCTAATAAGCGATAGTGCCGTGGCTTGCTTGTCAAGTATCGTCGAGTACTGAAAAATCCATTGCACTGTGACGATGCTGGCTTCTCATTTGCCCATCATAACTGACAGAACTGCATCGCTAAAGCCCCCGAGGCTCAACAAAGGCCGGCGGGTTGTTTTCCGGTCGAATGACAGCGTAAGCGAGCCGGCAATAGTGTTAAACCTGGTAGTTGTCTAAGGTTGTGCAAGGATGGATGGAGGATGTTCGTGGAAATGTCTTGGATCTCGGATCACGCTTGAGGGAACCGCGGCCTTGTAATTGGCCTCGGCTAGCGATCCAGCAGGCACGATCAACTGCTCCTGCTGTTTCCGTGTTAGATCCTTTTGGGGGGGCCATGACTGTGAATTGAGGTCTTGGCGTCCAACATATCACAAACGCAGAGTATCAATCAATGGCATGATACGACGCGACACGACATTACATTACCTTGCATTGCATTGGATATAACCACGACCGTATATTGGTCTTTAGCCGTGCCGTGTCTTGTCTCGTTTATTGAGCAGTTAAAGAGCTCAAGGACAAGGATGGCCTGATATGATCAGCATCATCACCACTACGGAGTATCAAAACTGATTTTCAGCGGTAACCGGGAAAAGTAAAGGTTAATCGCTCGCTACTCCACATGCCGTGGCATGAATTGTGGTTCTCTCCATGCTTGTTTTGCTTTTTTGAGGCTCTCTCAACCTGACAGCTTCAACTTTGGACGACATGACCTCTCTGTGGTGGAAAGAAAATGGACAGACAAAAGTGTGTTGAGTTGTATGTCCCAAAAATGCATGGAATTGGTTGGTATATCGAGCATTGTAACATACCCATCTCAATTAGGCTATCGGTGATTTCATAGCTTGTTGTTCATGTTGTGTGTTGTATGTGTGTGTGTGTGCGTTGTGTGCTATTGCCCCTGTCCATGCCCTGGTTTCTCGCTTGACCAATGCGTTACCGCCCAACAAAGACCTCGTCTGCATTCAAAAGGCAACTATCGACGTGACAGCACGGAATAGCGTCCTGTAAGACATCACATGAGATGGTATTGTTGGTGATGAACCAGTGATTAAGAAGAAACTAACTATAGATAGCCCTACCCAGTATCTTGGGAGTGGCAAATCAGTCAAGGCTTGGGGACACCCACAGCCTTTCGGCCCTGAGGTTCGGTGGAGTCTAGAGACAACAGCTGTGCAGGTAGACAACAACATTAGAGAGGATCCTGTTGTGTTACCACACCTCATATACCCCAAGACAGGATGACAAACCCCAATCGCGATCTGTCGGGCTACTTGCTGGCTACTAAGGTAGACACAGCCCAGGATGTGATGCGGGTGAGCATCTAAAATGCCCTGTCTTCTAACCAGAGCATATCTGCCTTCCACTTTACTAATACAAGGCATCAGTTTTGACGCTTTGGAAGACCAGCGAGCACTACCAAGCCGATTTTGTATTACTCTTAGCCCAACTGTCGGTGCTCAAGTAGCAGAGCACCTTGTTTCTTATGATCTGACGGAGCACGGCCCTGCTATACATAAGGCTGTAAAGCGGTGTTATGATTGTGGGTGACCCTCCATTGCTACAAAAGGGTGTGTGCACCCACGGGGAAACCTGTCGATCGAAATCTATCAGTCCACCCCGCTTACATAGTACTTAGTACTAAGGTGAGGGAGGTGCTCTCTTAGTGTTACCGATAGCGTACATCATCATGCAAGGCTCTATCCTGTCATCGGACATGATCGAGCTCTCGTCAGAGGCAGTGCATAATGACCAATTTACGCTATCTTGCCGTGTTAGGCGGCAACTATACCCGGTTGATAACAAGACGGTTGAGCCTTTCCACCGTGACCTGGGTCTGAAGGCGAAGGTGTCTGAATTGAGTTTGTCAGTCGGCGGCTAAGATCGTAGCGGGGTGGAATGCCTATAACGTCACTAACCGGAACCCATGATGATGGTTGGACGTTCTATTGTGTAACCTTGCGCTGTTAATCTGTGAGCTGAAGCAAAAGGGATATGCATCGAA